ATAATTTGAATTTATGAATAAACTTAGAACTATTTTTATAAAACCAAGAATTTTTTAAAAAACTATTGATTTTTTTGCGAAACTTTGATTTTTTTTCTGAATTTCCATGCATTATTTGAAAATTTGAAAAAAAATTAAACTCCAAAAATTTCAAGATTATGATTTTTTTGAAAAAAATATATGATTTTTTAAAACGTGAACAAAATTTGAGATTTCAAACATTTTTAAAAATCCAAAGAACTTTTGGGTATATTGAATTTTTTTGAAATTATGAACTTTTGAAAATAAAAAGAAACAGAAAACAAGAAGAGAAAACAAAATAACCATAAAAAAAGGTTCAAGAACCTTCCAGAATGTTCTCAAATCCGGTCACAAACCGAAGGTTCCCAAAACCGGAGTGCTTGCACGTAAAAAGAAGGGTACTTGGGCAGACCCATGTACGAGGAAAGGGGGTGTGTGAAATAGTATTCTCCAGCCCGCCCCACCATTGCTAGCAAGCAATGACGTATGTATGCCTCTTACTTGGGAGCAATTAGCTGACGGGTACTCCACCGGGGGCAACCGCAACGGTCACTTTTCTGCCCCATGAGCGTGCCAAGTGGTGCGCTTAGACGCTGCCCTGAGTCGTGCTCTGGCGTACCCTTCGTATTTCTTTTTTTCTTTCTACACATGTTTTTGGGTTTTATTTGATTTTTTTTAGTTTTTGGCTTTTCAGTTTACTGGTTTTTCCTAGGTTTTAGGTTTAAGAGGGTTTTAAGTTTATTTTTTAAATTCTTCGGGGAGCAGTGCTTTTCTGCGAGAAGCATAACTTTGCGTCCTCAAAAAGAGAAAAGCATAACCTATGCTTTCACGAGAAACACAACCTGTGGTTTCACGAGAGAAGCAAATGCCGTACTTTCACGAAAATAACAATTGTGCCTACCGAAAGAGAAACACACAACATGTACTTTCATGAGAAGCATAAATGTGCTTTCCCGAAAATAAAACAAAGGCATAGCATGTGCTTCAATGAGAAGCAGAACCGTGCTTGTTGAAAAGGAAAAAGCACAACTATGCTTCTAAATAAAAAGTGAAAAAGCACAACCATACTTTCAGATTTTGACAATTTTTTCGGTTAGCAGATTTTAGGTTCAGTTTTTATATATTTTTATTTTTCAATTTCTGGTTTTTTTATTCCGGGTATCTTCATGAAAAAAGGTTCGTTCCAACCTATTAACTTGAGATCTAGTTTTGAAGACCTCGGCACGAGAAATCCAATAATGAAATCGGTTCGTGCTTTGAACGCATGGTTTAATAGATAAACCTTTTTAAAAATCTACAAAAAAATCAAGTTGCAACAAGTGATGCACATGTGGTGTGTTGCTTGTCAGCACCAGATGAAAGTGACATTTGCATGGGGTGTCTCTTAACTTAACAAGCTATTTCGCTCTTACTGTGATACAATAACATATCAACGCCAAGTAGAGCCTGGAATAGCAAAAGTACCCTTCTACTCCCGAGCTCATTTGAGCTCGGGATGAATAGTAAATTCAAAAGAAATGAAAAAACCTTTGAAAAATTCTGAATTTCTTTGGTGTAAACTTTGACAAATGTTCTCGGTGCTTGCAAATTTTCATCCCGAAATGACATTCGTGGAAGTCATGGCAAAAAAAATAGCACTCCAAAATACTTTCAAAAATAGCATTTTTGGAGTGTCAATTTTTTATATTTTACCATGACTTCCAACAATGTTATTTCGAGATGAAAATTTGCAAGCACCGAGAATATTTGTCAAAGTTTGCACTTTTTTTAGAATTTATTAATTTTTTTTACTATTTTTTACTATTCATTAGGGAGCATATGAGCTCGGGACTAGATAGTCAGTGTCCCGGCAATAGCTGCATTTTAGCCCACGGGAGCAACATTGCATTGACATATCTTAGGAATCTGTCATCCCGAAGCTATTCATTTTTTTGTCTCACGGCCTTTTGCTCGGAAAATTATGTGTGTTCAGGGGCCAACTTATTTTGAGTTTTCAACTTTTCTCTCTTTATGATTGTCTTTTTTAACCTTTTCGCTGTTTTTTACATTTCTTGATTTATATTATTTTACTTTATGTGTACATATAATGAACAACATTTTTAAATCTATGAACCTTCAAAACAAATACATGAATGTAAAAATAATGCGCGAAAATATTTTTTTAATATACAATGAACATCTTGATTCATACCTGTGAATGCATATATGTACACACATGAGTACTTTTCATATTTTTTTTTCCATTTTACCTTTTATTACATTGAAAATATTTTTGACAAAATGATCTTGTGTACATACGTTAAGAAAAATTACTATTTTAATTAAAAAAATCCCAAACTTAGTGGGTCGTGCCATGACCGACCCTTATATGGGGTTTGCAGATGTATTCCTGACTATTTTGATAGGATGAGTTCATTTTCTTCGGTCTTGTCTTCAAGGTGTACGTGTTTTTTCTGCATGGAAAAAACAAAGGCTCAAAGAAAATTGGTTCGTTTGAGCCAGTTCAACTGATGTGTTTTTGGCCTTTTGGTTAGACTCATCATCAAGGACAGACATTATCCTAGATTCCGTGGATATGTTCTTTCTTCTTGAGAGCATTGTAGTGGAAGAATTGAACCATACTTGTCTGTGTTTTTTTGTCATATCATGTCAATATTCTGCCATTGTTGATTTTGTTTATTTCATATACTCTGTTTATTGACGCTCTGGCGTCTTTGTCTTATATTTACTTCAATAAAACTATAGATGAGTGCATACGTAGATGCAGAGGCCAGGAGGTTTGAGTTGTTTTTTAAAACAAGCATCCTAAAGTATGAGATGATAGTCATTTTTTTTATGTGAACAAAATTTCTGATAGTTTTATCCTTGAGAGCTCTAAGAAGAGCGCAAATAAGACCTTAACCAATTTAGGATAATGGGTTGCCACTTGGATGACAACTTTCAGGTCTATTCCTATAGTGGTTTACTTGATTAATGGTTCCCACAAATGAGGATTGCCCCCTGCCTCTGTAATTTTCTTCATATTCCTTCAGTCCAGAATTCTTTGTCGTGAAAATGGATGTATCTGAATGCATTTTTAGTTCTAGATACATCAATTTCTATCCATTTTTGTCACAAGTAATTCGAGACAAAGGGAGTACTGGTTGCACAACACCATCCGCATAGGAAAATAGATCTTCAAAATATTTTCTTAATTAATTAATTATAGAAACATTTTCTCATCGTGTTTGTGTCCGCTTGATGCTTCGTTATGAGTTAATAAAAACGCCCTTCATCAAGAAATATATATATATATATAGAAGTTTTTGGGGTGGGTGTGCAAGGAGCAGCTTTAAACACAAATGAGATAAGGCAATAAATAAATAAACCCATAGCTAGAATTTTGCAAGGACAAAGCTAAAACATTCAAGATTTATCAATGAAACTTGACCAATTCTTTTGGTGATGTAAAAAGTAGGACGCCGATATTCACCACACGTGTGGTATATTAGACATGTGCCCACACACCGTATGTGGCGTGAGCAGGAGGCAGCCCACACGGACTGTGTGTGAGCGGATATTAGAATTGCTCATACGTGTGGGCGCAGCTACTTCGTGCCACACGCCCAACAAGTACTACTCATTTCCACCCCGCACGTGTGACACGAAGCAAAAATGCCCACATGTCCTGGCACAACTACGTTAGGTATTCCGCGGGATGATAATTTAGTTGCCATCCTGGATGGCAGATGTAGTTATCCGGGATGGCAAGTGTAGTCGTAAAAGCATGGCAACTATATCTGTTTTGGTTAACTATAGTTGCCATGTCTAATTTATGGTAGTTGCCACATGTAATCAAACCGTATTTGCCGTGTGATTATCTACTTGCCACATATGGTCAAACAGTAGTTGACATGTGTGTTTACCTAGTTGCCATGTGTGATCCAATCATAGTTGCCATGTATGGTTAATCACAGTTGGCATGTGTGTTTATCTGGTTGCCACGTACGCGCAACTACAGTTGCCGTCTAGCAAAGAATCACAGTTGCCATGTGTGTTTACCTAGTTGCCACGTTCGCGTAACTGCAGTTGCCATCCACAATGTAGAAGTGTCGTGTGGGCGAAAAGCAGTTCGCCCACACAGCGCAGCTGGCAAACAGCGTGATGCAGGGCGTGTGGGCAAACTCTCCAACGCCCACACACCAGTCTCGTCCTACGTGGCATGCAAATTCTGTCTCAATGTGTCAAGATTCGTGCAAACTGCACTGGACGATAAACCACACGTGTGGGCGAGTTGCAAAACTGCCACACGTGTGGGCATTAGTATTTTCGAAAAAGTAATACAGTGATTGGGCTAACAAATTTGTAGGCAAAATAATTGTTAAGGTTGCATACTAATAATTGGGCTATAAACATCATGCAATTTCAAACCAGGGAAGTATATTTGATGAAATTTCATATATGCTCCTCGTTTAAACGTGTTTACATTATTACCAACTGTTGATCGCTTTGCAAAGCCTAAAACCTTGTGTTTTTGTGAACGTCACGGCACCACCTACCACTACATCTGTGGATCTATCCTTCCGAATAAATTCTGCAAATGGAAGATGATTAGCCGTAATAACTGAGAGGACTACGAATCCAATCATCGATGCCCTGACAGTGACTAAAAACATACGTACATTAACCAAACTCACACGTGCAACCAACGAACATCATACAAACCCAAATTATTTAGCTGGTATATTCATCAGTCATACAGATGAATTTAACAAACCACACCGTATCATGCATGCATGCATCGCGCGCCGTATACAATATCCTTTTTGTACTACAGATAAATTGTTTAGAGCAGGATCACATCATAATCGGGCCGGCTAACACTTACATATAGTAGTATCAATTATGTTTTACGGACGAGGACGGCCGGAGCAGGGAGCGTGACACGCATGCATGCATGGACGAGAAGGTGGCCGGCGGCGGGCTAGCCAGCTAGCTCTCTAACGGCCGCCGAATGACTTGACGCCGAGGCGCCACCCCTTCTTAGTGTCCTCGATGAACCTGCCCGCCCTCGAGTTGATGTCGTCTCCGGGGCTGTCGGGCTTCCTCGCCGCGCCGGAGCTGCCGGCGCCGGCCGTCCATGGCTGTGGCTTCCACGCGTTGCCGATGGCCCCGCCGCCGGCGCCGACAGGAGGCTTGATGTGGATGAGGTTGCGGAACTCGATCTTCTCCACCTTTTGCACCGCCACCTCCTCCCCGGCGGCCGGAGCTGGGTTCTTGGTGCTCTTGCCCCACCGGAACATCTTCGACCTAGCTGCTGGAGTATATATGATGCTTGTTTGTTTCCTAAGGTTGGATGAATGGGGATGGCGAGCGGATGGCCCCTTTTATAGCGAGGCATATGTGCTTTTGTAGTTACACATGTTCATACCGTAAAGATATAACAGTTTCACATAGAAATTCCCTCATTAACCATGAGGTCAATGCGGTCATCAGTAGATGTGATGTTCGGTTCTCATGGCACGGATGACGGATGGCTGTCGCTGCTAAGGTAGAGCGAATATGTTTGTTCCTTCGATTTACATATGACCGACCTGGAGTATATCTCTACGACCGCTTTTATTTTGTTTCTTTAGTTACTATACGACAGCGATTTGTCATTCTGCACACACCGTTGTCTGAGTCAGTTGAACTTTTGGCATGTCTCCAACGCCACATAATACCATGTAAAAACTTATGCCTCTTTTGGTTCAAAGGAAATGTAGAGGCAAAAGATATGAATTAATGTAAATTTTTCCTATGATGATATTATTCATATGCCTTTTGGTACAAAGGAATGGGACAAAGAAAAAATGAAAGAAAATTTTCTTTTATCTCAGTTTGAAGGAAAAACTCATGAATTCTAACATCTGCTTGGACCTCTTTTCAAATTACTATGCAGAAAACAAATGAGACTGAGATCCTTAGTGGCATAATAATGTTCTAACTATATATTTTCACGTGGCGTGACTTTAAATTTTGACCATGTTAATTAGGATTCCTTTGTTTTTTCGATTCCTGTAAACCAAACATCAAGTTGTCAGAATTTCTATGATTGCCAATTCTCTGTTTTTGCACATGCATTTTTATCATGTTCTTGTGTTTTTTTGTATTCCTGTGCTTTTAAAATCATGTGAACGAAATATGCCCTTTTTTAATAATTGGAAGTTTTGTTCCTGGCCACATCATAAATGCATGGTGCAATCTATGTATGTATCTCTCTATTATACTATGCACTGAAAGAAAAGGAAAGGAAAAAAGAAATAGAGAGAAGTACATGCTAGCTAGAAATAAAGAAAAAGAAAAATGAAAGAAATCACAGCCATTAGATAAGTATAGTCATATTTATTCAGATTGTACCTAGGTCTATATAATTGTATCTAAATAGATTATGTCCAATAGACTTTCATAATTATATTTTCTGGTGATGCTCTGAACAAAAAGCAAAACTGAAACGGGGTTCCCATGCTCTCTAACTAAAATTGCCATGCTCGACTAACACAAATTGCCATGATAATCGTTGGCAATTGCCATCCCTCCAGCGAACATTTGCTGGTCATGAGGGTTCTTTTTCTTTGCCATATGAGTGTGTTTAAAATCTTGCAATGGATTTGGATGATTATTTGCATAATATATGTTCCAAGAAAACTGCAAACACAAAGGAAAAATATTTTAAATGAAGGTTTTTTACTGCAATAATCACTACTAGAAAAAGGACTAAAGATGAAATTGATACTAATGGCGCACCAGAGAAGTGGTGCGCCACTACTATTTACTAATGGCGCACCACGTGAAGATACGCCATTAGTGTGTAAGACACTAATGGCGCACCAGGCACAAGGTGCCCCACTAGTAACAAAATGTTTTTTTTCATTTTTTCAAACATACTAATGGCGCATCCGGGCAAAGTGCGCCATTAGTAGTTAGAACTACTAATGGCGCATCAACCGTTGAGTGCGCCACTACTGTATTCTTTTTTTTTTACTTTTTTGCAAAACTACTAATGGCGCACCGTCGCATAGTGCGTCATTACTAGTTCAAACTAGTAATGGCGCACTGTGCCACGGTGCGCCATTAGTATAAAAATTATTTTTAATACTTTTTGTAAAACTATTAATGGCGCATGCATGTGTGGTGCACCCTCCCCTACTCCACTGCCGCAGACGAGCACCCCCCGCACCCGCCCCCGCTCCACCGCCGCCGACGAGCACCCCTCGCACCCGCCCCCGCT